AAATATCTTGATTCTCAAATATGTGTAAGTAAATGCGTTTTGCACCTTTATAGATTATGTTATTTGATCTATAATGGGTGATGGGCAAAGTAGACTAATACTGTAATCTATTAACTACAGATAAAAACCCGTCTTTTTACTTAAGTACCAGATATGGGTGTCATGCCATAAAATATTTTTAATACGACCGACTTTGTATTTAATATGAATTTAATAACAATATTGTAAGTTACTAATTATAACACTTTCATTTTACAGAGATCAAAGAACTTTACATTATCAACATTTTCATTCAGTCTAGCCAGAGTTCAAAAGTCAGAGTTCAGAGCCTAAATCACTGAAGCTGTTTACACTGTGACATGAATATCTTGTATGCGCATCTGCACTTTGTTGTTTTTGGTGAGAGAATTCGCCAGAGAATTCAGTCAGCGAGCGAGTGAACGAAACACCGGGTTTCAGCGATGACTCATCTGAACGTCTCTGATTGGCCATTGCATTCATAAGCTCAACAGAATCGTGTGGGATTGGTTATAGCAGCGCTGTACAAATGCGTTTGTCTCTGGCTCAGCGCCAGGCAGAGAACGCAGAAGGAAGCAGCTGACCTGAGGCCGAGCATCCTCTGAAAAGCCCTGAGGGGACGTGAAGTCCCGAGTCTGAATGACACCGCTAGCCGCTGAATTATCAGGGAGCATTCCGGCGTAATCCATGTCCACATCTGGGCAGAACAGATAATTGTCCCCAGAAAGACTACTCGCTGGCTGGGAGACAGAGAGCTCAGGCTTCAGTATCAGCGTAAACAGAAGTTTCCCCATAAGCGTCCTTGACGCAACGGGAGAGACCATTCGAAAGGGAACAGTAAATCCATTTACATATTCATGCTTTGATATAGATTTGACACAGTATTGCACAAATTTAGTACATTTATATGTAGTTTTATTACTGATTTAGCTTTTACATGATGAAACAAGACCTGTAGTGTCTCCGAGGCCCAGCTGTCCAGCAGAGTTCTTTCCCCATCCAAACACGACTCCAGAGAGAGACAACCCAAAGCTGTGGTCTCCTCCAGCACTGATCTGAGCCAGTGGGATCCCACTCAGACTCTGAACATGTTGAGCAGACGGAGAGCCGGGATGATCTTTCTCTAAACCCAGCTGACCATGAGAGTTCTCACCCCATACCAACAACTGACCATCTGAAAGAGCAACAGATCGGACACTCAAATGTCAGTTTATTCATATCAATCATGAGATGTCAAAATATGAAAGCAAAATGGCAGATGTTAAATGGAATAGTTGTTAATACCGTGGGTTAGTGCCATTGAATGATGGTCTCCACATGCGATCTGAATCACCTGCCTGTTATCCAGACCAATAAGAGGCCTGCGGAGGCAAATGACAAGTCTCGGTTAGCCTAACGCAGTACACGTAGCAAGGTGTATATATATATATATATATATATATTATACACACACACATATACACACACACATATACACAAACACACACACACAAAGAAAAACAAGTAGATAGAATAGAAAAAATAGAAAGCTAGTGTTTGTTTGTTCCCAGTAGCTAGATGTTGCGACTTGGACACCTCACCTCTCCAAGATCATATATATAGTAATTTAAACTGTAATTTAACCTGCACACAGTAGATTTGTCCATGATGAGAACTCTTCCTCCATAAGCAAGAAGAACCGCACGATCTCCTCCACAGACAATCAGTCTGATTCTGTCATTCTTTAGCTGTAGTTGCTCTGGAATAAAAAAAATATTTTCATCAGTTCATTGTGATGTCATTAATAAACATACGGTATCAGATCATGTACTCTCAAATATAAATATATTTATCTTACATTTATAACTTTTTTAATGATAACCATGTGTCATTTAGCATATCATACTTAGTTTTCCATCATGATCACAGTCTTCACTGCGCAATCTCAGGACCGAGACCTTCCCATCCCGGATGAATCCAACAAAACTCCGTCCAGCTGACATGTCCTGAACTTTTGATTTCGGACACACGGACCGTATTCCAGAATTGCCATGTTTGACTTTGTCAGGCTGTTCCAGCCCGAAACCCTCTCTGACCTGCGGTCCCCAAAAACACAACATGATCACAGCTGACGGATGAGACGATCAGACTCCAGCAGCGTCTCTCTGCATCCCCGGACTGACGAACACACTCATACTAAACTGAAAGCAAACACGAAAGTTAAGCAGGAAAGACTGGTTTCAGGTTAAACGATACTTATTCGACTTCCCACAAAATGAAAGTGTTTTTAATAATATCTTCTATATTTGTTGTTTTTAACAGCGAGTGAAAGAAAAACGTTTTAGATGTGGGACAGGACAACCTACCCACAATGACTTTCAATTCTTCCATGGACCATAAGAGTAGTGTTAGGGAAAATGTGATGGAATGACAACTCACAACAGTCACGATTCACATTCATTTGCTTTCCATACGATAAACGTGAATGGTGACTGTGTCTGTCATTATGCATGATATGACATCCCTCCTCAAGCTTTTTATGTCGATAGTTCTCTGTATGATTACATTGAGATAAATATTTAGGCGATTAAACATTGTATAAAGGCACCTTTGGATCTAGAACGCCTACTACAATTTCTCCTAAATCATTGGTTTAGATCCCTGTCAATCATATTAGTCTGGCCAATCAACTGATTGAACCGCACCGATGAAACGGAGGGATCTGATTGGATCATGTATTTTCCTTCATACGCGGTTGTTGGTGCAGCCTAGAAACGACACTGAGAAGAAATGATCTACTGTATGAGATTACATATACATTAACCCGTTAGGTTAAACAAGGACATACCATATCTCATTTTTATTATAAAATTGAAGGTAAGTAGCAAATAAAAGACTAGAAATTGTACAATATTCGCGTTCTGCTGTAGCAGGATCTGTTTGCTAGCAGCGCGCGCGAGCGCCGAAAGGCACAGCTCGAGGATTCATCTCCCTTTTGCTTGTTGTGATTAATGATTACACTCAATAATACGCGTATTGTATAATTTATATCTGTTTCAGCCTTTTTTGCGTTATAATTTTTGTTTAAAACTTGAATAACGAGTGGTTTGAAGGTTTTGCCAGCGTGTTGTTACATAAGCGGAGTGTTGCGTCATGTTTATTTACCCTCTATTCATATTTAACTTGTCGATTCTTCGACCGTCTAAGTTATCTATATTTGTGTTATTCCCCTTTTAATGACTGTAGTAATGTTGTTTTTGCAAGTTATGTGTTTATAATGTATGAATTCTAGTATGAATTAAATAGGGGGTGGGGCACAAGATGATGTTGTTACTTAATGACTCCATTGGGACTTGCAGTAAACACGCTGTTTAGTGTTTAAACAAAGGCTGTCTCATAACTTAAGGAGCTGACTACCTAGGCAGCATTTTTAGGCATGTATTATATACATATGTCTCATGTTTTTTATTACTGACTTGACTTCAGTGGGAGGGGCTGTAAGCGTGCTATTTAGTGTTCCAAGTTAAGGCTGTGCTTTAAAACCCAGTGAGCTGACTAACGTTACTTAGGTAGCTATTTTTGGAAATCATAGATGACTAAAACGTGCGGTCTGTGTAGGCATCTAGTTACCTTTTGAGACAGCTGAAAGCTACGTGCTTCTTGTCACATAGTATGCTATGAACTTCTAGGGAATAACAAGCCTCTGGTCAAGTCATTCATTTGTTTGTTTCCTTGTTTTTCAGAGAACTCCTGGTCAAGACTGAATATTTACAGAAACCAGCTTACCTTCATTCTGCACTGATTTTTGAAGCGTATTTAAGGGCCATTTGTTTCAGACTCTTCCTGCCTGTACAGCAAGTGTTGTATCCTGCCACTGAGTATGTCAGTGGCTCTTCTCATGCGATATGCCACGCTCAGCGGATCCCGTGTCTGCTGCAAGGCTGCCCTCGGCATAACCGGCATCCACCAAGAAGACACGAGACGGGCTCTACACACTCCATCATCTCCTCGGTGCAGCAACACTCGCTTTGATCCAGACAGCAGTGGCCATCCGACTACCTGGGACTCCTTTGGGATCTGGGACAACCGCATTGATGAGCCCATCTTGCTTCCGTCAAGCATCCGATATGGTAAACCTATTCCCAAAGTTAGCCTGTCCAAGGTGGGCTGTGCCTCACAGATTGGCCAGCGGAAGGTGAACGAAGACCACTATCAGCTATCGCGGATGACGGACAACATCATATACTTTGCAGTGTTTGACGGGCACGGAGGTGCAGAGGCTGCTGAATTCTGCCACAAAAACATGGAGAAGCATATTAAGTAAGGATCGTTGGTTCTAAAGGAATAGTTCACCTAAAAAAAAAAACTGAAAAAAGCTTAAAATTTACACGCCCTCAGGCAATTCAAGATGTACAGTAATCAACATTTGAAGTGGATCAAAACCTTTCATCAAAGTTGTCCTAAAACCTAAACTAAAATGCGTTCTTGTCTTAGGACAACTTTGATTAACTTTTTTAATCCACTTCAAATGTTGACTACTGTAGATGAGTTTGTTTCTTCATCAGAACAGATTTGGAGAAATTCAGCATTACGTCATTTGCTTACCAGTGGATCCTCTGCAGATTAATGTCTTGTGAAGTGAAAAGCTGTGTGAGAAAAAGTGAAAGGTGAAACAAATCCATTGTCCTCTCACATCAAAATCCACTGACATATTTCTCTCCTGATTCAGATGAGACAATTTCCCACTGGATAAAGCAATATTATGTACTCATATTTTAGCTGGAAGCAGCGGTTTGAAGTTAATAATGTATTGATGTAAACACGCAGCTTTATTCTTCACAAGATGTTAATTGATGGACTGGACTGGAGTGGTGTGGATTACTTGTGGATCATTGTGATGTTTTTATCAGCTGTATGGACTCTCATTCTGACGGCACCCATTCACTGCAGAGGATCCACTGGTGAGCAAGTGATGTAATGCTAAATTTCTCCAAATCTATTCAGATGAAGAAACAAACTCTACACCTTGGATGGCCTGAGAGTAAGTACATTTTCATTAAAGCTTCATTTTTAGGTGAAATATTTATTTAGTGGGTGTGTATTTTTTTTTTTAGATATCTTTTTACAAATTTTGTAAAGAATATGCAAGGTGTTCCATATACAACAAATGCTCATGATCGTACTCACGTAGAGCTCTGTCGTGACTCTGCAAGCTCTGTTTACTAACATGAGACTAGTTCTTGTAATTCCTTAAAGAGATAATAAGGACTGCTTCTAAACCTGTCTAAACCATGATGGGCTTCTGAATCAGTACCTGTGGCGTTTCAGAATAACAAACTGTTTATATTGCATTTTTTATTTGTGTTTCAGAGACATTGCTGAGGAGGAGGATAACTTGGAATTAGTTTTAACCAAAGCATTTCTTGAGGTGGACAAAGCTTTAGCAAGGCATCTTCACTTCAGTGCAGATGGTAGGTCTTATTTCACTAATTTATTTTTTTAAAGCATGCACAGTCTTTCAGCTGTTGTTTTAGAGTCCTAATTTATAAGTATTGCTTTGATGCATCAGGTAAACATGTAGCAGAGCCAAATGGACATTTGTGAGCAGAACATGACAATGCAGACTATATATATATATATATAAAATAAAATAAAATAAACAATGATCCCTAATACGGAGCAGTGAAAACCTTAGTCATTATAGTTCACAGATTTCTCTCTGGCTCTGTAAAATGCATCCATCATGACATAGATAGCACTTAACATGCTTGTGTATACTAGGGGTGGGTTAAAAAAAATATAAGTCCTATATAGCTGCTGTTCTTATAAAAATATCCTCCTAAATGATTTTCCTAAAAAATATTTGCTAAACAAATTTGACAAGAAACAACAAGTGTGTTATCAAAATTAATATTTTAGTGAAAATGTTTGCTCCTTTTCTCTGCTTGCAACTGGGCAGATGACGTAACTAGTCGAATACCTGCGCTGTGACACTCAGAACCTTTGTCAATTGATAATAGGAATTATTTGTTTATATTTTCATTGTTGTTTTCTTCTATTTGTATTTTAAGGCTGAAAAATTACATACACTAATTGATATTAACAAACTTTACTTATTGAGTTAAACTTTTAAGTTATTATACTCATTTATTCCATTTCTGTTCACCGTAACAGACATTTAGCCTATAAGCCAGCCATTTTAATATAGTAAAGATTTGCACCCAGTGCTGTTGCTGAAAAATTGATGCATCAGGAATTATTTGGAATAACATCACCTTGAATTTAAATAGTATCAAAGATGACTTTTAAATCCCACCTTTAGTATATAATATTAACACATAGTTAAAAAAAATAAGTTTTTTTTAGATTCATCTGTGTTGATAAGTATTTTAAATGCTGTTGTGATAGAATAAATAGGATTATGCCAGGTCCATCATATTCATGTAGTGTGCGGCCCACTAGTGTGGCCTGCTGCGTGACGTGTCCAATCTTGCCCTGTGTGTGTGCGTGTTATTTACAACAGCCGCGGACCCAGCTTACCCCTATAAGAGCTGCAGCTCTGCGGTACCTTTATGGAGGCCGGAGGGTTAGATTGCTCCAGCGGGTCCTTGCGTGGACTTTTGGAAGGTTCCTGACCTTTCTCTCTTTCTTTCCTTTCTGTCTTTCTCTTTATCTCTCTTCACTGTGCTCTGCCTTCTTCACATGTGTTGGTTGCTGGAAAATGATTGATTAGTCATTGTGTTACTTTTTTTTTTTTTTTTTTTTTTTTTTTTGGATAATTCTCAAATAAGCTCAAATAAGTATTTTCTCGTCAATAAACCTGGCATTGTATATTATGAATATTGTTGGCTCTCTGCAAATTGCTTTCGCTCCTCTGTATGGATAATGCTAGTTTTAGTTGATGTCAGAGAAAAGCACAAGATATTTACTGTGGGAGTAATTTTTAGTGAAGAAATGCTATTTGCTAAAAAGAGATGTGCCTCTTAAAATCAATTGCTTTTATGCTGTTTAATGCTTTTTTCAATGCTAAGCGTAATGTTTTGCCTAAACAATGGTGTTCATTTTTCTAACGTGTCCTATGTGCTTTAGATAGTCAAAAAGGTACAATGCTACCTGCTTGCCTTGACCACTCAAGTACATCTCTTTTGGAAACTCCCTCTTTTTTGTTTCAGTTTACATTTGTTTTTATCAGATGCTTGATTACCAAAACAATGTGTACATATCTCATAAATATGCACAGTATTGCGTAGTATAGTACACTAGAATTACATGCAAATCTCAGAACAGGATTAAGAGTAAATAGCTGTTTAATTTCTGTGTGTGATTGTGCTGTAACAGATGCAAACTCTGTATTGCGTGTCTTACTGTTTCTGTGACCGCATCACAAACTAACCATTCTGCCTCGCTCTCTGGTGTGTTACAGCCTCTCTGTTGAGTGCAGGGACGACGGCCACAGTGGCCCTGCTGAGAGACGGGATCGAGCTGGTGGTGGGCAGCGTGGGGGACAGCCGAGCCATGCTGTGCCGCAAAGGCAAGGCCCTCAAACTCACTGTGGATCACACGCCTGAGAGAAAGGATGAAAAAGAGAGGTACAGTTAGCCTAAGTGCTCCAAGCAGATTGAGACACTGTGAGTGCATGTCTTTTAAACACCATGTGTTTGTTTCTGAAGGATACGCAAGACTGGAGGTTTTATTACATGGAATAGTTTTGGTCAACCGCACGTCAATGGCAGACTGGCCATGACACGCAGCATTGGAGATTTCGACCTCAAGACATCAGGTGTCATTGCAGAACCAGAGACTAAGAGAATTTCAGTGAGAGCTTTTTCTTTGAAATTCACTTTTTACATATTCAAAATGTATTGACAATGTATTTTTACCATAATATAAATTAAAATTACCTTGTTGTTATTTACGTAAATTACTGACTATTGAATTTATATATACACAAACACACAATTTTACTTTGAGTACTTT